GTCGCATTGACATAGCAGGTGTTGCCTGAGTTCATCATGCGTCGCATGCGTGAGTACAGGCCTGGTGGGAGATGTCCCGCGGCGGTGCTCGCCGTCGCCGTGGGGACCGTGGTGGAGGCAGCGGCAGCGAGAGTAGCAGAGCGGTCCGCCGTCCCGAAGAAGCCACTTAGGGACATTGTCACCGCGGTCTTTGGTTGAGGCTTGGAACATTGTTCCCGCGTTTTGTCCTTACCCTGGACCTTGTGCCATCCGAACAGGACCTGGAACAGAACTATGCACTGCTCTGGGTGCTTGCGTTTGTCGTAGACCTGCAGTTTGCAGAAGGGACATGGGTGTCCTTTGATCATCTGCACTGTGTAGGCCTGGCAAAGCTTGAGTGCCGCCGGACCATCTCGTTGCCAGACCTGTGCATGAGCCTGTCGTTGATGATTTTTCATCTTGGTATGATCGGGGGTCCAGAATCCGCACAAGATGCACCTGTGCTTGAGTTCTAGAGCTTCCGGTCGGGAGGCTATGCTGCTGAGCTTGTCTTTTGGCGAACTCTGCACCGTAGCCCGAAGGGCGGCTAAGCCTCTGAGAGCTTGGCCTTGCAGCTGTTCCTCGGTGGTGAGAGATAGTTGTCGTAGGCGTTCCGGTTGCGTACAGGCTCCCGACAACAAGTGGTCGCGTAGGCCCTTCCATTGATGGAAGGCCTTGTCGCATGCGGAACATACTGGTAGACCGTCCCTGGAGTGTCGACTACGATCAAAGGTAGGAGGAATGTACCTCTTTACTTGATCACGATGCATCCTTGTGATGTGCATATGTAGACCATGCGCAGAGACGAAGCCAGACGCACAGTGAGGACAGTCGTGCAACCGCTGCTGCGAGGCCTCGGTGCTCGCCGGAAGATTGTCCACCTCGCGTAGTATGTCCTGTAGGTCCTGTAGGACATGTCCCAGACACGTGACATCACCGTACGCTGCCATGACGGTAGGGTTCGAGCCTGTGGCCGAGGCCGGCGCGTCAGGACGCAGTCTGGCCCACGGGCCCAGCTGCACCGTAGGTGCACTGGAAGTAGTCATCCGCTGGACAGAAGTGTCAGCCTCGGGGGTAGGGATGTCGGGTCGTTTGCTCAGTCTTTTTAGTCGCGAAGCCATCCGAGCTCGGATTTTTGCCACCGGGTCCTGAATCGAATGCAGCTGATATAGGTCAGCTGTGGAGATGCGGCTGACATGGACAGGCTGGTTAAGCACGGAGCGTAGCTTGTGTGCATACCAACCTCGGAGATGCCGGGCTGTTTCCTCCGTGAGGCCGACTTCAGGAAGTCCTGTGACCAGAGTGGCCCATACGGTGGTGAACCAAACCTTCAACCTGGCCATTGGCCCTGCAGTTCTGCGGTTGTAAACAAATCGCTTGACCTGCTGGAGCTTTTTGGCAGCTTCCGCTATACGGAAGCGCAGCGTTTGCATTTCGAAATTCCCATAAGAGATTTGAATGCCCAGGTACTTGATTTGTGTTTCAAGCTTGTAGGCTGGGAAGGACTTGTGTTTGCCTAGTCGCCAGTGACGCTGGAGTTTGCCGTCTTGGTCGGGAAGCCAACAGGTGTGCTTCTGGAGCGTGGCCTCTGCCTCTCTGCCACTGAGTTTGACTAGAATGGCACATTTGGTTGGATTGACTCGCAGGCCTAGTTTCTCTACCTCCGACAAAAGCTGTAGGATCATTTTGTGAGCTGCGTCCACGTCCGCTTTGCTACGGATTGTGCGATGCATGGTAAAGTCATCGGCATACCCAGTGAAGTATCTGCGGACATTGTCCCAGCCAAATGTGTCTATCAGCCGGCGCAGAAGACGGCCTGTTAGAACGGAAAACAATGTGGGGGCCAGCTTGCAGCCTTGTTTGATGCCAGTGGTGGTTTCCACATCCTGGTGCGCCCCTTGTGAATGGAGCCTGTACTTGGATCGATGATGCAGGCCATGTATCAGTTTTTGTAGGGGGGGGTCTGCGCCTAGTTCGTCAAGCAGAGACAAGATTTCGCTGCGGGATACAGTGTCGAATGCCTGTGATAGGTCTAGTGCAAAGGTAATGCCGCCTACTAGACCGACAGGACATTGTCCCCGCTGCTGATCCGCTCTGGTAAGGTTCGCAGTGCGGCACAGTTGCCGAGCCTCTCTCAGGTGCTGTACCACTCGACTCTGAGCGTCGGAGAGACCCCGGCCCGGGAGGTATGCAAACTGAGGGAGAGGCTTCATGTATGGCAGCGTGAGAGGTTCCAGGAGTTCCTTAGCCGTTCCCGCCAGGCCTTTAGCATCCGGCCTGAGTATTCCCAGCGGTCTGAGCTGGGAAGGCTTGTCAGCCGGCTTGCCCGGTTTGGGGATCAAGCAGAGATCCGCTCGTGTCAAATCATCGTCTAGTGGCTGGTCCTGTGTCAGAGCAGAACAGTAATGTGAGAGCGCCTCGGATACCGGCTGTGCGCAGAGCTTCCAGGCTGCGGCTGGTGCTGCTCCTTTCGGAACTGCCTTTCCAGGTTTTATCGAAGCTATGTGTTTCGCCAGCTTAGTCTGCGGCAGTAGGGGCAGAAGTCCCGCGTCAGAAGGAAGCGGAGGGTGCGCTGCAAAGACCTTGGTGGCGTACTTGCCCAACTCTGCAAGTTCGTTAGCAGGGCTGAGTAGGAAACCGTTCGAATCCTTGAGCTGAGCCTTCAGAGCCGGTTTCCACGGGCGAAGATGCTTGAGAGTTTGGTATGCTAGGTGTTGGTCTCCCTGATTGAGAGCCTGGTCTACCTCGGCAAGGAACCGCTTGGTTTGATCTTTGCGAGACTGCTTGACCGCCAGTTTGTGCTGGTCGTATAGCAGTTGACGGGCAGCTGCGTCTGTAGCTGATGCAGCACTGGTGTGAGCATTGCTCCCTCGTGCAGAGCGCCACATTCTTCTGGCAATGCACGTCTCCGGACTTTCTGGCATTGCCACCGGGGTCTTAGGGAAAAACCTGGAGGAGGCTTCGCCCAGAAGGCGATCCCATGACGCCGGCTGCATGTCCGGAGTAAGACGGGTTGTAACCCACTCCAGCATTTGCTGAGCTGGCAGCGTGTTATCCCTCACAGCCGCTTGCAGGGCAGCAGCGTCAAACTGATGTGTCTGTATCTGAGGAGGCGGCAGATTCCAGTGGCGTACTGGCTTGACAGTCGCACTGATGGGCAGGTGCCCGCTTTTCTTCCAACTGCCCAGCGGAAAAGCCGCCAGTGGCGTGGAGGCCTTGGCAGTGCCTCCGGCTGACACCTCTCGCGTAAGCACGAAATCAATTTGTGTGCGTGTGTCCCCCTGTTGGTACGTAAATGATGGCTGAGGTCGCCACGTGTTGAGGGCCACCAAGCGGTGACTCAACAGGAAGTTGGTGAGCTCTGGTTCATCAGGTCGCGGTTCCTGTGGGCTTATGAGCTCTGGACCGACCAGCCTAGGCTGTTTTTGCAAGGAGCTATTGAAATCACCTGCGATGATAAGCGTGTCTCGGTGTGGCACCCTTTGCACACATCTGCCAAGAGCTTTTAGGACCTGTGCCCTGTCCTGACGATTGTTCTGCACCTGCTTGGCCGGTGACCAAACATGTTGGTATACAGCAATCAGGTGTATGCGAGCCCCGTGCCAGTCAAACCTGACTTCCAGGGTTCTGCCTATGACATGTTCCTGCCATCTCACACCTTTAGGTTGTATGTGTGGGGACAGAAAGACCATTACTCCGTCCGCGCGGGTTGTCGAGGGTTCCTTGCGGGGCGGATGGGTCTTGTCGTCATTAGGCATTGCCTCTGCAGGTGGCTGTATGTGGGCCTTGCCCCCGCGTTGTTTGCGTCTTGAGGCTTTCGGATCTGCAGCAGAGGCAGACGAGATGCAGTACCAGCCTGCAACACTAAATTCAGCCGTAGCCTGCCAGTGGGTCTCCTGCAGCACAAGAACATCACAGGTGTGACGTGCCTCAGTGGAAAGCCATGATTTGACTTCCGACCATTGCTGCTGGCCAAGGTGGCCTGCATTCCAAGACAGTACACGGAGGGGCCTGGTGGCCTGTCCTGCTCTAGACCGTGGTGCGAAAGACTGAGTGGAACCTGGCCGCGGTGGGCAGTTGCCCATGCGCCTGAGAAGAGCAGGGGTCATGACCTGACCTCGGTAGGAAACGGGTTGCTGGCTTGCAACCACCTTTCTGCAAACATGCTTGAACGAATTCTTCCTGATCTGAGAATAATTTTGTGAGTGCACTGGGAGCAGCGCCATCCGCTATTTCGTCACAAGGCAAGCCGAGTGACTCCCTCCACCACGCGGTTAGTGGAAACCCTACCGCCTGCCCAGTGGGCCCGTGTTAAGACAGGGTACTGGGTCCAGGAATTGGGACCTGGCGGCTCAGACGCAAACTGTTGGCACATGGCACATGGCTCAACGTGAGGAACCAACCCTTAGTCGTTCGGAGAGAGGCCTGTTTGAGACCTCTAGCAACGCAAGGTTGGAATCCAGAGCCTGTTCGAAAGCCAGCGCGAAACTTCCAAAACGTCTGAGCCGTGGCGGCTGTTGCGATTACTACTACTACTACTACTACTACTACTACTACTACTACTACTACTACTACTACTACTACTACTACTACAATTACTATAATTACTGCTCTTTCTGCTCTTCTTATCTTACTATGCTTGCTACTCTTACTGTGCTTGCTACTCTTGCTAATCTTACTAGTCTTGCTAATCTTACTACTCTTACTCTTACTGTTTCTGTCACTATTGCTAGCCCTGTTCCTATTGCTATTCATGTTGCTACTACCATGATTATTACTATTACTATTACGGTTACTACTACTGTTACTATTACTGGTACTGTTACTATGACTGTTACTATGGCTGTAACTATAGCAATCACTTTCACTATCATCATTACTACGACTATGACTGTGACTATTCCTATGATTATTACTATGACAGTTTCGATGACTATCCTTATGGCCTTATGGTTATTCATGCTATTAATAGATATCGGCTCCTGGCTTCTGGGACAAGACGACGGCGGTGCCGACGAGGCAGCTGCTTCGGTGGTCGTCCTTGGGACTTTGCTACCGTGGCCGTCGGAAAGACTTCATAGGGATGCTTTATTGAAGCGGATCCTAACATGCAGGGTAGGCTATTCAGGGTATGCACGAGAGAATGGTGTTCGTCCACTGTTCTTTTTCATGCAGCATTCTATGGTACTACATCTTACGAAAATGTGCGCATGTACCTGGAGATTGAAGGGTTCTCCAGGAATCTCCAGGATCTGAGGCGGGGGAGCCTAAAGATTGACAAGCATGTGAACTCGTGTGCGAGCTCGACCTTGGGTTTCCCAAATCGATACCGAGCCCGGCTCAGGATCACACCAGGAAGAACAAAAGCAGACAAACATGGCTGCCAAGACAAGGCGTCATCATGTGTCCACTTGATGCCCATGACCCCGTTGGCACCCATCTGCTGCGCCTCGCAAGCAACAGCCGTTAGGATTCCAAGCAGACTCTGGGACTAGTCCACAAACCAGTCCGGGTGTGAAGCACCACTGCAATATCGAAAATACACACTATGTGGGACAACTTACGTATCCCTTCTGGAACAACTCTTTCCTCTCCTCTTCAGTGAGTCCGGCCCCAGGCCGAGGCGGACGACGCCAAGCATGTACAGCTGCGATGACGCTGATATCTATGATGACGATAGTAGCGATGACGTAATGATGCTAATGATGATGATAATGATGACGAAGACGATGATGCTTTGAGGATGAAGATGAGGATGAAGATGAGGATGAGGATGTCGATGGTGAAGATGGAAACTTGAAGTTGCTACAGCTTAAAAGTGACGAAGGTCACGACAACGAACGACCGTGACGTCATGTATGCATGAAGACTGAGCGAATGAACGAATGAATCGTCGAGCGGAAAATACGCTACCACTACTCCTCCCTCTTCTGCTATTGCATTGGAAACGGTTTCTGCATATAATACAACTATCATCCACAACGAGGGGGCCAGAACTGTCCAGAACAGACACACAGACTTGCCTGTACTATCAGGCTGTTCACAGCAGTGGAGAAGGTCTCCTGCTCCTCGGATTGAGGATTGCAGCTCCGGTCCGAGCCTACCTCCGCCACGTGCTAAATCTCATGCGGCTCGACCGATCCTAGCTCTGGAAGCATGGCACTTAAAGATGAGTATAACGAGCTAGGTACCCAAAGCAAACCTCATCTACCATGTCAATAGCAGTACTGCCGTTCGCCATTGCGACCTGTTCATCTGGCAACAGTCATGATTCATGATGCTTGACTGATATGAACACAGCATCATTGTCATCGTCCATCATGTTGCGGTGGCTATGCTTGCTAGCATCGTCCCTGCTACCACTGTTGCTGCTGCTCCTGCTAGAACAGTGCCTGGGCAGCAAAGGCTCACCCTCGGCATCTCGTCGCTTGTTGGCAAGCACGCCGAAGCCTGCCCATCTCCACTGCCTGCCCGGAAAGGTTCAAACAGGGCTTGGGGCCTGGTTTGGGGGTTGAGGCTTTGAGGATTAGGGTTGATTTCTTCAGGCCGACATGGTCTGACAAGACGGTGGTCTTCCTTAAGCAGGCTCGAGGTGGAAGCCTGAAGCTTGCATCTCTGGCCGAAGCGGGTTCAACTGAATCCCGAGGCCGAAAACCCTTGAAAGCCCCGAACCTACCTTGAAGCTGAAGCTGGAGACCCACAACTTGGGCTCTCATCTGGTCACAAGACTCCAGACGTGGGTTGCTACATCGTACATAAAGGTCGGCTAGACTCTATTCTTGACCGCATGCAAGCGCATGTCCGATTGGGTACTTAGCTTCGCTTATTATTGTGCTGCCCTAGGTTACTGTTTGCTGTTGCATGATCATGAGTGCGTTCCAAAGTGCCCTGCGGTTTGTTGCGCTTTCGCGCGCGGCACGTTCCGGCACAAAACTCCAAACCGCAAGTTCAAAAGCAGCATCGCTCAGTCCAATCACGCTGAAAGCGAGCATGCAACAGGTGTCCTTTGTGGTCGCAAGCTCTTTGCAGTGTCGCAACAAGTATGCCGATCGGTGCTAAACCGACGGGCTTTACCGGACCCCTCGCCAAGCCCGAAAGCGCAAACCGGAAAACTCTCACCCAAGACTCAACACACTGCCCTCGATGCTTGGGCCCTAGCATTCCCAAAAGCCAAGCCCAATCCCCGAAGCCCTCGCCTGTAGCCCACACTGCACACCAGTCCAAGCACTGATGAGACCTCGGAAAGGAAGCAGCTGCGAGGATTCTGCTTAGGGCTTCGGGCTTGGAGACTGGGTCGGGTTTCGGTTTCAGGAATGAGGGCTACATCAGACTCAGGGGTGTTCTCACAAGCCCCGAAGCCTAGGCCTAGGCGAGGCCAAGCCTTTCGTTCTAAGAAGCTTCAGAACACAGCTGCTGGTCTCTAGCCTCGCGGCTGGAGCGAGAGGCTCGGACACAGTCGCATGCGACCCTGCTGCATTCAACTGCATTCACAAGCTGCAAGACAGTGCAAGTTCAACCACTTTGGCAGTGAGATGTGTTCGAACCTCGAGATCAACTCTGACATTGGCTACAGGAGGATACTGGACATCTCATCGGCTACGTCATAACGATCAGTGGCTAATGAAAGTGCTTGCGATGCAATTCACACGTCACGATCCTGCGAGTGACAGCAATGGAAAACTTTGCCCTGGTAAATGCCACGACTGGACTAACTACGTCCACGATCACAAAAAAAGCCTGGATGTCAGGACGTCTATCAAACTCTTGTAGCGGCATGTCTCGAACTACCAGAAGGAAAGAGGGCAAATCTGCAAACGTTCCCAAGCCCATCCAACCTTCCCCTCTCTCGCCAAAGTACGCAGAGGTGCTTCGCCGGACTTTGCCTGACAGAGCTGAGATGTGGGATGACGATCAGACCCGGCTGTCAGCAAGACGACAACACTGTAGAGGCAATGAGGACAACAATCGCACAAATAATGACTGCACCAAAGGTTGTCGAACAGAAAATCTTGCCGGCCAGTCGCATCGCCGACACCTCGACCCGGGAGTGATGATACCTGGTCGTGTCGTAACGTTTAGCGGTCATAGCCAGCTGCGGACTGTTTTGGTTCACCCTTTGCCTTGCAAGAGTGACTGGTCCAATTCCCAACCATTTCTGGGTGTGAAGCAGCGTGTATGAATCATCTTACAACATGCCATGCCCACAGTCAACATCACAGGTGACACTTTCTGGAAGCTTCGATGCAGAAGACCCTTCCTGCCTCCAGGGCTCGCTGCCAGAGTCTAGAGGCAACCGAGGCCCAAGCATGACCCAAACGAAGGCCAAGAAGCGGGATTTGATCCACCGCCTCCTGGAACTGCGAGAGGCGGACAGCGGTGCCCTGCCCGGCAAAATCAGCAAATCTTCTTCTGAACATAGCTTTCAGGCGTCCGGAAACCCACTGCGTGTGTTTTGTGGAAGCTTACGTCAGAGAAAACCGTAACAGCATAGGATACAGCAGATAGTCAGAAAGGCTCAGCAAGAAAGCACATACTATGTCATGCTAGCAAGAGGGTGCAAATGTAGGTACATACATACACTACTGGTTGCATACAAAGTAGAATACGGGTATCATGTGGATAAACATGAAAGAAAAACTTGAAGGTCATCTCCGTCAAAAGCGATCATGAATCGTGATTGCTAACAAGAAAAAGAACTGGCAACAGTAGAGGGAGCACTGATGAGAACAATCAGAACGGCTTCGAGGCTTGAAGCTCGAGGGCCATGCTTGAAAGTCACAGATAGCTTGATCCATTGCATGCTTGTAATCCCTCTCGCTCCTCGCTGGCACTCTTTTACCAAACCTCATCTGGGCTCGAACTTCCTCCAGCCCCAGCGGCCCCAGCAGTTCGAGACACGGATGAAGACCACTGCAATCGCTTCATGGTAACGGGCACACTAGCAAAACTAGCAAAGCCCACGGCAAAGGCCAGGGTCCGCCTCCTGAAGTTAGGGATGAACGACAAAACCTTGAAACTTAATCCTTGAACCCATCGCTAGGATTCCGGAAGCCATCCCCTGAAGGACTCGTTGAAAGCGGGCCTTCAGCACACACATGAAACGGGAGCAGTTCGAAACGCTCAGGGCCTTCACAGGCTCTGAGGCAAATGGCACATCTACGAGGAGCTTTCGTGGCAGCCCCAGGAGTTTGACGATGACAAACAGAGGCGTCACTTGAGGTTTTTAAACTTCTTGAAGCTCAAGCTGCATAGCTGACGGCCTCCCCAGGAAACTAAGTACCCATCAAGCTCCAAGCCAAGCCGAAGAGAACGCAGGCTGTACACACTCCGATAGCCTATGAACCCATCAAGGACGAGTGGGATGGGGTGGGGTGGGATGGGATGGGACAGATCCATGGATGGATGCACGGACGGATGGACGCAGTGAGTGCCTCTTGTGCCGCCTTTCCCGGGAACCTCCGCAGACATGACCCTCCCGCAACAGCTCGAGGTACCCTCACTGGCTAACCCATGTAGACGACAGCCTCGATCTTCACACCCAGGACGCCATGGGCTCCCAAGGAGCTGGCGGCAGCCTTGCAACAGGGGTTCACAGGGAAGGCTTGAGAATTTTGGTGTTGCATGACTTCGTAGCTTTGGGGTTTTGCAGCCATTCTGATTCGGAGCCGGCGACTGACACATCGAAAAAGTTCGTCAGTCCGTAACCCCGAACTCGATTCGGATGCGAACCTCGCCTGCAGTTTGGCCATCGCCTGCTGAAGGGCAGCCAGCTCACCCATGGCAGTCCTAACACGATTGCTGTCTTGCATTGTCACTTTGTCGTTGCTCTGCAGGAATGTCTTCAGTTCTTGTTGCAGACTAGATGCCAGAACTGATGCCATAGGTGTGACCAATCCATGAGGTGATAATGATAATCAGATTATCACGTCGCGACGATGATGGTAAGAGTGATGATGCCAAGACTGATCATGCTGACGACGATGATGGCGGTGACCCCAACGGCCATGGCATGACGATGAGGATGCTGCAGGATAGAGACCAGCAGGGAAGGAAGAGGAGGAGGAGGACGACGATGACGCTCGGTGGCGAAAACGAAGATGCAGCACTAGCAAGAAAGCTCCTCTGGTTCAACCGCGAGTAACCCCCACGGCCGTAGTCGCGGTACGGACTCAGGGCAGCCGCGGCCACGACGCCTTGGACGATTCGAGGCTAGGCTCAATGTTTTTTCGGGTGCTCAAGATGCTTTCGGTCATTAAGATCAGGTGCCTAACGTGTAGATACAGAAAGCTGCCGGATATTTAGCACTATCACGAGTTTGCTTGGGTCCTTTCCCTCACGTTCTGTTGATACCATGTCGTGGCCAGACGCTACACGACCCTGAGGTCAGCCCGGCTGATGGGTTTCCAGGCTGCATGGGCCAAGTGCAACATCTTCACGCACGGACACAACTGACTAGCCGCTGATTGATGAAGACTGATGCAATCAAAGCCTTCAGCCTCTGATCGCTACAGCACTAGTCGCTTCGCTTCTCCCATTTTCTTCCTTTGGGGTTTCGGGTCTCGTCGTATGACTGGTGATGCAAAATGGAGCCCTTCCGTTATCGAACTCCACAAGTCTGCAGAATGCCATTGATGTGGGTGGTTTCTCGGCTGTGGGTTTCCTAAGAACCGCTGCAGCAAGAAAACCACCGGTACACCCGACGTCCCATCCTTAAATCCGAAACCCTTAACCCTACATTCCAAAGTCTGTGTATTCGCGAACGCATACACTGGGCTGAGAAAACCCAGCAATCGGGCGCCCGACCCAACACCGAAGAGATGGCGAAGCCTTCAGGAGCGCTCCTTGCAATCCGATCCGACTTTGAGGGCTTTCGCGGCTCAGGCTTTGTGGCTTCATAGGGGGTGGCTTTGTTCTGAGGGCTTCGGGCTTGGGACCTCGCGGAACTTAGCAGGGTGCTAGGCCTGTTTGAATTTAAGCCTGGTATGTGTGCTTTTTTCGAGCTGGCGACGGCGCTTTTGGGCTTCTGGGCGTGGCGTTGTGAAGACAGTTCATTACTGAACGAGCATTCCAGACCGCAGCCATTTCCCTTTTTGACCTTGCAGCTGTTGCAGCAACACGCTCTGAAGCACCGAAGCCCATATCCCAAATCCGAGGCACCAAACTCTAAAACCTGAAACCCGAGACCAGATGTGAGTCCAAAGCAAATCCGAAGAAACGACGGCTCCGCAGCGTGGAGCACACGGCCGGCACCGGAGGCGGAAGCTCGGCGAAGATCCTCGCAGGATTGGGTCATGTAGGGGCCGTTATAATTAATATAGGGTCCATCTTATGCTATAGTCATAATAGGAAACCCCCAACATAGTATGGGGAATTAAGGCCCCCATAGTGGGTCTTCTTCAGGGTTATCTTTTCTCTTGCATGCTTCTTTCGGGGTGCTGCAAACTGTTTGAGGATGCTTGTTGCAAGCTGCATTGAACTTTGAAGTTGTCGTTTAGGGATCAAGGCATGTATAGAAGCTTAGGGTGTAATGGCTTAGGTTTCTGGCTCCAGGTTGCCTGGTCAGGGTTCGGGATCTGGGGGTGTAGCTATGAGCATCTTGCAATCTGGGGGGTCGGGTCGACGTGGGTTCCAGGGTGCACTGAGCTTGGGAGCTCTAGGCTGGGACCCCAGCCTGGGCCCTGGGATTTGGGGTTTGAGGCTGGAGCCATGATGCGGCGCCCAGCCCTGCAATAGCACCGATCCCGTTTTCATGTCCCACATCATGATCAATGGACATCTCCGTTCACCAGCGGTACACCCAAAGCCTCCCAGCAGAAATTCGATTCTCTGCTCCGAGACATGGCCACGAGGTGAGGGTTCCATGCACCCTGGAGGCCGGCCCGGGTCCTGCTGCCGGGCTCCTTGCCAAGAACAACCTCGCTGCAAAGGCAGTCGAAAACCCTAAACCCCAAACGCGAAACCCCAAACCCCAAACCCTAAACCCCGGATGTCTCACTTGCTGAGTTTAGGGCTCCCGGTCTTTTCCTCGCAAGCACAACAAGCCCTTGGAGATGACAGCAAGCCCCCTGCACTATAAAACAACAAAGACACTTTAAACAAAAAAAAGACATCCTCAACCAAACGCGGCCGAAACGGCCGCAGTGCCCACCGCTTGGGAGACAAATCGATTGTCGTCGTGCATCCATTTCACCTCGGCTCCCAGTACTAACCTTTGTACGGTCTGGCCAGGGGCGGAGTGTGAAGGAGTGTCCAAGGCAGAATCAGATCTGGAGGAAGAAGGCCCTGTCCAACAGAAACCCTTGTCCAAAGCGATACCCTGTCCAGCAAAAACCAAACCTGCCAGACCGTGCCATGTGATATGCGGCAGGGACAGTGTCGTGAAGAGCCATGCGATTGCATTGCTACGACATAGCTTCCGATTTTGGGTGTGTTGCACTGCTCGTGCTACGGTTCTCCAGCTCCGTGCCGCCGGTTTCAAGCACGGCGTCTATGAATGTATGTATGTACCTCGGTATGTAAATATACACGAACAAATATGTGTATGATCAGGCGTCTAGCCTTCCGGGCACGGGCACCATCACCTACACCTTTAAGCAGGTCTGATCCATTGCATCTCCGCGGCGCCCAGGACTCCATTCGCTCCCATGGCCTGTGTCAGTTGCACTGGCTCTTGCGGCGATGTTTTTGGGGTTTGGGGCTTTTTTTGAGCGCCCTTTTCTGCCTTGTTTGCTGCCGTCCCTAGGGGTTTAGGGCTTAGGGTTTGCATTTGGAGATCATCTTCCCTGCCCGCTGCTGCCTGGGCCTGTGCCATCAATCCACGCACGGCCTCACCTAAGTGTCACGAAACATGCAGGCCTGAAGCTTTCGGACTTCAGTTTGGGATCTGTAAATTTCCGTAATGCAGGTGCTGTCATGACTGCATGACCAGACAAGGAAGCTTGGGGAGATCCCCTAGCATCAAGAAGCCTGTCAGGGCCACTGGCAGCTCAGACACTCTGAATCTTCAACTCAAGAGCTCCCAAACTTACAAAAAGAAGAACCCCCTAATACTAACTCCGAGCCCAGAAATCCGAAAAACCCTAAACCCTGAAGCGCCCCACCAAAAAGACATGGACCGGTCCCCTCTATAGTAATTGAAAACACCCCTTCCTAGTCTTTACGGCTCAGTGCTCCGAGGCTCCGAAGGTTTGCGCCTCGGTCTCGGAGGGATCCTGGGGGCCCCCGAAAGCTTCGAAAAGCCCAAGAAAGTGGGGAATTTGGGAGGGGGTTTAGGGTTGTTTAGGGTTTAGGGCCTTGGGCCTTGGGTTGAAGGGCTTTTCTGGCTGGGTTTGGGGTTGAAGGTTTGGTTTCATCGGGGTTTGGGGCTGATGCGATTCAAGGGCTCGGTTTGGGTCGCCTGGGCTGCTGCTTTACAGGGTCTTGGGGGCCGATCACTTGTGCACTTTTGCTGGCCGCTGGCCTCCTGCCAATCGGCCAAGCATAGAGTGAACGGTGTGTGCTGTGAAGGCTGCCTATGTTTCACTGCATATTTTGGTTCGGGGTCCAGGGGCCTTGTTTCGGCCCGAAACACACCTTCCGGACAAAGCCGAACCTTCGAACCAGGCCAGGGCGGTGCCCTATGTCATTTCACAGCGAGGCATGCTGATAGCTGGCGTTGAAATTCTCTTCTTTCGTGCGATCAACATGTCTTGTGTGATTGCCATGTGCATTGCAATCAGTGTTGCTTGACCTGGCAGATCGAATGAATACAAGTGTCGGATGTTCTGAGAGCCTGGAGGTGAACCCACGCGTACACGAAACTCTCGACTCTCAGCCCAGTCCACCAACGACTCCGAGGCTTCGGGAGAACCCCAAACACCAAGCCACCTCCCAGGTGAACCACCGGACGGGCCGCGCAGCGATGCAACAGACGAGGCCTTCGGATGGAGAAACGGAGAAGACGAAGGCGGAGACAGGCGTAACGATCCTGCCTCACATACTACGCTCCAGCTTCAAGCCTTAGATTTCAACTTTATCTAATTCGGATCTCGCGCGGTGCGACATGTCGGAGCCTTCGAATCAACCGCAGACAGACAACACTGACCATCACAACGCACTGAAAAGAGCCCAAAATCTGCAAACCCAGAGTCCCCGCCTTTGACCTCGCCCACCTGCATCGAAGCTGGAGGCGCCTGTACTCTTGGAACTGCTAGGGTTTGGCTTGCTCGAAGGCTGATGCCTGTTGCCGCTTCAGCTTTTGGGCTTCTTGGTGTGGTCTTGAAGTGAAGGGGTTTTCAAGACTTCAAGCTTTCCGAGCTCAGGGCCTGCATAGCCGATTTGCGACAAGACCGGAACTGGCCTTCATGATGGTGAGAGGTGGTCAGACTAGAAAAGATGATGAACGGCTTTCAAACTCCAAAGACTCAAAGCTCGAACCCCGCGCCATTCGCGCCTGGAGGGTCGAGGGTGGCAGGCAGACTGCATGGGCTTGCAGTGAGGGCTCCGGGTTCACGGCTTCAGTTTGAATGAGCATAAGATGTATGTCAGGGTATGGCGTTGTTTGATTTGGGACTTCTGCGTCAAACGAAGGCCAAAAGCTTCCAGCGTTTTTGGTTCGGGGGACGAACGGCTTGAAGCGTGGCACAGAACTTCGCAAGTGGAGGCAGCGCAAGCACCACCTTTCCTAATAACTTTCCTGCGGCAATGACGACGATGATAGTCATAGCTAGCCAGGAAGAGAAAGGGATTGATGATGATGATGATAATGATGATGATAGGGGTTCGGCTGGCGGTCGTGTTCACCATTGCTGTCAGCCAGCTAGCACTCGAGTTCTTACTATGCTTGGGTTTTCTACTCGAACATGTTCTTACGCTTGCGTTCCCCATTTCCTCTTTCCTCCACAGAACAAAAAGTTCACCCCTTCAGCACCCACGCAAATGCCTGGAAGCACCTCCAGCGGATTCACGTCAGCCTGGTGCCGGTGCCGTAGGAGTTTGGCTTCTCTTTGTTGTTGGTGGCGCTAGTAGCGGCTAGGAGGTGGAGTTGAGGCTTTGGGGTTTTGTGAGTCGGGTTTCGCTTAGGATGCATTAGTTCAAGTTATGGCTTAGGGTTCTGGATTCTACATGATTCCAGGACGTGCCACTATCCCCTCCCTGGCTCAGGATACCAATACTCAGCATCCAAGCTTAAAGCAACTAAGGCAGTGCCAAGCCGGTTCTTACAGCAGATGAAGAAATGGCTAAACCTTAGACCGTCAAACGCTATACCCTGAACTCCGGACCCCTCACCCTGAAACTCCAAACCCTAGGCCGTAAACACTGAAAACTTCAAACTTCTGGCAGACTTCCGAGGCAAAAGCCTCCATGGCCAGGCGAACAGCCGTGCCACGGAGCCTGCGATGCAAAGCTGTGACGGGCACAGTTTCATGTTTAGGCTTTCATACCGCTTTGGGCAATTCCTACGTATGACTAGTTTCATTGTTCTTGCCCCTGTAGTATAATTACCATCACTTCTTCACAATACCACTGCCATTATCGTCACATTACTACTGTATTCGATGATCCTAGCACTCACTATCGTCGTGGTCTAAGTAGTCATGCACAGTCACGCATTCCTTGCACAGGTGCTGCTGCTGGTGCTACTTTGAATCCAACATCCTGAATGCCCGCCGTGCGGCACGCACATTGCCTGAAATGGCTCCTCCGGTTTCACGCCTGCCATAGTCATAGTCCAGGATTATAGGGCAGGGCTTGCCGGGTTCTAGGGTGGTTTACATGCATAGGTTCGTGGGGACTGAAAAACTGCGGTGAAGAAGCTGGCCTCAACGGTTGGGGTTTAGTTCGGGGTTATGGGCACTGTGGCTCAGCATCCGTCGCTATCAAGCGATGGTGGCATCATGGCTTCCATTCACACGGCAGGATCTACAAACCCTGACATGCCAACCCATCCTGACAATCCCGACACAAAATGCACGAATTTGTGCAACGGTTCCTACGGCCTACGGCTTCATGACAACGATTTCGGTAGGCGAGTGCTTGCGCATAGCACTGCCACAGCAGTTTTGCGGCTTTGAACTATTGCTACCAGAGAAACTCATGCTAAAACCGACCTTGCTACCAACCTCCCTACATGATGGGCTCTCTCTAGTCGTCTGTATCTTCAGCCTTTAGCCATCCTATGCTACTGCCACTACTACCAGTTCTACCACTGCTACCACTGCTACCACCACTACTACTACTACTACTACTACTACTACTACTACTACTACTACTACTACTACTACTACTACTACTACTACCCTCATGATCCGCAAGGGGACACCTAGCACTGCGTTGGCGCCGAGCGCGGCAGCGGCCTGAAGGAGCCGCTGCCTTGCCTCAGAAGAGAACAATGCCACGACTCCGGTTCTCTACTTGTCCAGTATTCTATGGGTACTAAAGGTTATCCAGCTATCCCCTGGGACTATGTTATAGGGATTGTGGCTACTCTAAGACGAGGTCTGCATCCCTGTGCTTTAGGGCTTGTTTTCGTTCTACAGGCATGATGACTCTTGATAAACATGATGAAGTGATCACTAAAGTGGCCCCGGGTCCGGCCAACGTTGCTCAAAACTGGCGGAATCGTCGTAGTAGTAGTAGTAGTAGTAGTAGTAGTAGCAGCAGCAGCAGTAGTAGTAGCAGTAGCAGTAGCAGTAGTAGTAGTAGTAGTAGTAGTAGTAGTAGTACTAGTAGTACTAGTGGCGGCAGCAGCAGTAGTAGAAAAAGTAGCAGCAGTAGTAGTAGTAGTAGTAGTAGTAGTAGTAGTAGTAGTAGACGGTACTTAGCGTAACCATTGTGGCAGTTGTAGTCACTCTAGCCTAAAGAGCTCAGGATTCGGGAACCCCTTCTTTGGGAGCTGGCAGGAAGCAGCCATCATTTCCGAGCTTGGGGTGTCCAGCCATGCGGCTTGCTGGAAGGCAGCGGCCTGGTACGGGGTTCAGCACCGATTCTTAAGAAGTCTCCATGTCGATGGAGGCATTCCAAAACCCTTGTGTCGAGGTGTACGCATTCACTTCGACGCTTCATGTATCTTCACTTCACCGTGCAGAAGCTCGCAGCTCCGAACTGGAAGGAGTCTCAACAAGCCGATCGCCTCGCGATTGGCCAGGTCGGTCCTTTGCCGTTAGGTGCAACGAACATTGGGCTCTGAAGTGCGATCAAGCACAAGCTGTCGGAGTATCTGCTGCACTTGTCTACCACTGCAGCAACCCACGGCTGCATGTTTCAGTGGGCACCAGGGCACAACAGCCAATCCGTGCCAGACACACACCACGCACTATTCACTATTCCAGAAGTCTTGTGATCTGCAGCTCAAGAGCACACCCAAGCTCCAGTTGGCATTGGCGCCAACCCCTGGCACGCGAGGCTTCATCGTAAAATCTGTTTTTGGCAGGCCGCACTTAACTTTATCCCAATCCCAAGCTTTCTGAAGCACGAGAGCTTCAGCCCGTCATCACTGGGCAAGCCTTGGACAATTCCGAGCGTCTCTTCCACTCGGGTGCCATGCGGAGGCTCGCGCACCTGTCCATGCATGTTTGAGACACTACAAGCACAAGCGCTTAAGTTCCTGCTTTGTAGCTGTCTGTTACGAGTTGTCTGGAAATGTGGCTCTGAAAAGGTCATCTCGATGATGAGTGCCGCAAGTCTCGTAATTGGTCTTTGCTCTTGCGACCTTCTCTTTCGGTTGTGGCGTCTGCCACTTTTAGCCGAGAGTCGGTCGAGGCAAACAGCGGCCCGGTGTAAGGCAGAAGATCGGATCCAACCTCCTGGAATTTTGCGAGTCAGGGCTTTGTCTCTGGTGTTGCAGTTGGCCGCGGACAGGTTCGAGTAAGGGAGCTACTGTAGTTCAAAGCTGGAAGCAACTAGCACCTGGCACTGTGGATGGCAGGAGTACGGAAGTCGGAAAAGTCCCCTCAGTGTAGGGTTCGGGCCATGGGATGAGAAAAGAAGCCTCACTTCCGGAACTCTTCGCATCCTCCGGCAAAAACGGCCCCAGGATGCCCCAGCCTTCTCTGGCAGCGTCCGCACGGCGGTTCCACAAAGCATCGCCTCAGTGGTCCTGAGCAGAAAGCCAGTCATCGACACGCGAATTCGAGGGGGGCCAGGGGGGCCTTCCCCGAGTTGGAGTCCGATCAGATCCAGCCAGCGTCCACTTCTTACATTCTACGAGTGACGTCGCATATTACTCTGGATCCCAAAACAAGAACCCATACTGAAACAGCTAAGCTGAAAGACCCCGAAACCCTGAACCCTGGATCCTTCAGTAGAAGCCATGAGTCTTGTGCCGCTGCACGCGACGGTAGGTCGTTGGCCCGTTCTCCTTCTTCTCCTCACCAGGGGAGATGAAGCGTTTTCCGGCCCCAGTCCACAGGTGCGGGACTCTTAAGAGCCAAGTGAATTTCATCAGAGCTGTTGCAGATCTACTTCCACTGTCTCTGGTCCTGCATGTCCAGTGACAACGCGTGACACCGCAGCCAACAGAACACGGCGAGTGGATGCGGAAGACGGACGATCATTGTTGATGAGCACACACCATACTGAACCGTTGTCATGCATCGAAGGTCTAATCATCAACAGACAATGCGAGTCACAGGAGAGCCGTCCTCCTTGATCTGGAAGGAGTCACACTGCAGCCAGCGAACACCCACCACCGCGTCGGCGCCGAGCTGCTGCGCTCTCTGCCTCTGCCCGGGGCTATCTATGCAACCCCCGCCAACACCTTCAAGTAACGGTTCAGACAACACAGCGATCGAAACCTGTCAGGATGATGCTGATGCTGATGCTGATGCTGATGCTGGTGCTGGTGCTGGTGCTCGCGCTCGTGCTGGTGCTGGTGCTGGTGATGATGATGGTGATAATGATGGCATCGGGACTGAACTCAGTATGCGGAGTGACAAGGAGCTGGAAGGGATGGAAGGATGTACAATTATAACGAGTAACAGACAAAGCTTGTTAAACAGATACACTGGTGCTTGCACTACGACTCAACCTGCATGGGAGCTACATAGCTGATAGCTGACCTCCTCGTGAAGGTAACACATTGTTCTCAGTTATGTGCTTCTGCTTTGGCATTGTTAGCAGTAATCCGGAAGGAGGCCACGGGCAGCCCTACCAGACACAAAAATGAAAAGATGTTCAACCCTGAAGCTTAAGGCCCAAACCAGGCTTTGGATTTCAAGGGCAAGATGAAAACGAAGGCAAGGTGCTGCAGCAGGCAGCCGGCTTGGGCAAAGGAACTGCACTCCTTCGATTCAGCTCTACATGCAGCCTCGGGGGGTGCATGCCTGCGCGACTGTGCGACTATGTATGCGTGCCCTGTCCTCCTTGCATCTGCCCTCCGCGATGGCGGAGAAATTGAAGCTGAAACCCGACCACTGCCCAATGGCAGCCGTCACCGTGCCCAGCACCTGTGCATCGAGAGGGTCTCGTTGAACCCAGGAGGTGCTACCCCAAAGAATTACAGCTTCAGCACCAAAACCTGACAAAGGGCTGAGTTCCTGAAGCCTTCTGCACGGCAGCAGAACCCCGATGGCTTCGCTAGGGACTCGACGCTCTGGATTGAATCGTCTGCATATGAAGGCTCAAAAATCTGACGCCCGGCGCCTCTCCGTTGAGCAGTTCCGGCTCACCCGTCCGCATCAGCCTTGAGCAGTCGTGATGGGAGGCAAGAGAGCCAAAACTCAAAATTCAACTCGTCCGGTTTAAGCCCTTGGGGCGTTTGGGCTGTCAGGTTGAAAGTCTCTTCTTCTCTGCCCTGCAGACGCTACGATTTCGAGGTGCCTAGCGAGCCTTGAGTCCTTGGGCACAGAGGGCTTGCAGACCTGCCCTCGCCCCAGCCAGGCCCAAAGAGAAACATGAGTTACGACCGGCAACAGGGGCGGGAGATCCAGGGACACGAGGTTCTGCTTCAGGAGGGCGAGGTCGCGCTGCCTGAGGAGGCCCCCAGGGGGGCTCAGGAACTTGGGGGACATCTCCGCATCTTTTGAGAAATCGGAAGCACGATGCCGCATGCTTATAACTTAAAACTTATCATCCCCAATTATATCCTATTTTGGTCCTGAAACAAGACTCAGCTTCTCTCGCATTGTACACTGTAGTGCTTCGGATGCATGGGTCTCTGAAGTAGGATTTCCGGAAAGCTAAACCCGGTACTGGATCAAAAGCATCATTCTGATAATTTTCTGTCAGATCCTGTTGCTTGCAAAAAGAGGATAGGTTCGTGCTGACGTACGCGTTATTCCGACCAGGGGAAAGGGGAACGCATTCGGGCGCCCAAGCGGCAGCCCCTGGAGTCTGATCTCCAGCCGGATTCCGCTTTGCTTCACCAGCTCCTCCATGTCCTTCCTGAGGCTGAGTCGCGGGTCGCAAACATAAGAAATTTCCATGACGGAGGCCCAGAGCTCAGACAGTGCCGAGCAGTGCCCGCTTACTCCGAGACACACTAGCTGCAACCATGTCGAGATACATGACATGCACGACATGACCGTGACAATAGTAGAGTCAGGGTACGCTTCCTGAGCTTCCCCCTTCAGGGAGCTGAGCGGGTTGAAGCGCTGGTCCCAACGGAAGCTGGCCTCCCAAGCGCTTCCGCCGACTTCTGGCTTTAGATTTCAAGTTTCAGTCTTCACGTCCTGTTGGATGAGGGCGTAGGGCCTTGAGGGTTTAGGTTGCCGGCACTGCTCCTGTGAAGCAGAGTTAAAGCACCGTCGGAAGCATTGCCGGACCGCATATCAGAAATCAAGGCGGCTGGACCCAGGAGACACAGTAGCAAAAACTGCTCACAGGTACGAATCTCAAGGTGAAAGTGTCTGGAACGGCTATTGGCACCAGGGTTGGTCAGGACGCCGACTTCTGCGCGTTTCGACACTCCATGAATGCAGCAAACGTCTCGGGTTCCGGCGGCCTTCCGTGCTTGCAAAGCGGCACTCTCCAGGTTAGAGCGCTGGAGGGCCTGAGGGCGTGGCGTGATGAAAATGGTTTCTCAGAAGCAACACATAGTTATCATTCTTCTCGTCCCTGGGACCTATCATCGCTGACACCCCTTGTCTGCGCTATGGTCCTTGTCCTTCTTCGTTTTTTCAGGTGCTGGTGCCAGCGCCGGGGCCAGTGCTGGTGCTGGCAGGCCCACCCTGTCACCATGTCCTGCCTGCGCCTGGACCTGCGCTGACCAGTCCTCCAGGCTGGAATGGAACTCGCCCCGCGCAGCTGCCAGCGCTCGGCGCCTGGAAGGCAAAGCAAGAGCGGACTCTTTTGGTCTAAACTTTTGTCACAATTTGTGGTTTATCAACTTTCTAGTCAGACAAGGCACGAACCCAAACCAGGTCCGTGACACTGGTCCTACGAAGTAGCTCGATGGTAACTTTCTTATTGCTCTTGGCATCGGATTGACGGCATCAGCAGCGAAGCGAGGAAATCGAAATCGAAAATACCTCATGCTGGACAGGGCGGTAGAGAAGCGGGAAGGTGAATGCCGCTCAAGCTGCAGTAGGAGTCGGAAAAGTCGTAGCAGTACCGGAGACAACGGAGCATGCAGCTCGGAATCTCCCGAGAGGCTCTGAGCTCGGCTGAGCCTGGTATTTTGCAGAGTTTTGGAGAAGGTGGTCACATTGGTCTCCAGCGAAGCCGCAACGGCATCTGCTTCCTGCAGGAAGGCGGAGTACCTGCCACACAGCCAAGCCATGCACAGCCAGGGAGCCCCGACGCCGAAAAGAACTCACGAAGTTGAAGATCGATGAGAAATAGCAGATTTGTTGGGTTAGAGTTAGAGCGGCTCAACAAACATGCTTCCTTGCAGTGGTGCTAGAGCTTTGGGCTTAGATCCAGAAGCTGACATACACTGTAAACACAGTTCTTGAACTCATTCGAGGGACTGCTGCACCGCTGGAAGCGGAGCCATCGCTGACACTCGCCGTATTGCTGCAGATTGTTGCACCCAAGGATTTGGATCCGAGGAAGTCACTGCTAAGAACACTCCACCTTTCCTTCTCATGCTTGTGCAACCCTGGGACGGCACCCAGCGGCAAATCTCCCACCTGTTGAGCCAAAGGCTCTGGGCAAACTGGCCTCCTTACGCAAAACTAGCCAGACCTTCAGCAACCAGGAATTCTGCCGAGACCGAGCAACGTGATGCAGAAGATTTACTCAAAGGCCGAAGATGTATCCCTCAAAGTTCCCTGCATTGCATCCTTTTCGTTCCTTCCACGTGGCATTCAGTATGCACTGAATTCAGCCGAGAAGATCACATGGGGCAGGAATATGTCGCGAGACTCCTGCATGCAACCTGGGAGCCTCCATGGAATGGATTGGCCCAAGTTTCTCCGTCGATTCCGAAGGTCACCCCTGGCCTCACCCAAACCCACAAATTCCTGGCCAACCTTTTGTTCGCCCGGAAAGTGTGCGGTCAGATCCTCTCGACCGAAGTAGGCATGTGGCTGCTTTGCAGCTGCTCCGACACCTAGCTAGTAGAAGGATCCCACACGTGCCTCCAGCGCCTCAGATGAGGGTCGACCCTACGACGAAATCAATCAACAAAAAGCATCGCGTCAATCGAATGCACTGCACTCTTGGACCGGTAATGATCGGGATCTGCTGGTTGGGGTGGTGCCGGTGCTGCTAATGCCGGTGGTGCCGGTGGTGCCGCCGGTGCCTGCCGGTGCCTGCCGGTGGTGCCGGTAGTGCTGGTGGTGCTGGTGGTGCTGGTGTGAGGATGATCATACAGAAACTGCTCATGACGCGTCGTGGTGATGAACAAGAAGATAACGACAATAAGGTCCAGGGTGATACTAAAGTCGATGTGGGAGACGACGACGATGGTGGGATGATGGTTATGATGGTTATGACGGTGATTCGATGATGATGGTGTTCTCAATGGTCGTGATGGCGATGATGATGATGATGACGACGACGACGACGATGATGATACTGAGCTCATGATGACCACGATGATGACCACGATGATGACCCTCATGATGACGGTGATGATGATAATGATGATGCTGACGACGATGGCGATGACGATAACAATGATGGAGATGAAGAAGAAGATGAAGATGATGGTCATGGTGATGATGCTGTTGACGGTGACCATGGTGATGACCCTGATGATGACCGTGATGAAGATAATGATGATGGGGTTATGATGCTAGTGATGATGTTGTTGCTGATGACGATGATGCTGACGATGTTCCTACTGACAACGCTGATGATGGTGAAGATGACGATGATCCTGTCGACGGAGATGGAGCTGGTGTGATGATGATAATGATGATGGTGTGATGAGAATGATGCCGATGACTATGATCATAATGCCGTTGCTGATGACGAAGACTTCGATGACGAGGAGGAGGAACAGGTCTGTCCAGACGACGATACGGATGAAGAAGATGATAATGACAACACCAAAATGATGAAATGTTGAGGATGCTGACAATTCTGGCTACAAAAACAATTCGACGCTGAATACGATCATACTGAATCGCTGAACACTCCAATTACGGATCCAAAGCCCCCGCGAAAGCCCCAGAGTCTCAGACCCGCGCCTCTACTTCGGGCCATCACCCGGACCGAAATCTTCAGGTTTCCGCTTGGGCTCTAACTTGCCGGTCTCCTGTTCGGAGACGAGAGCTCATGAAGTTGTTGGAGTCTCATCTCTTACTGTGTCGACGTTCGTTGTTTGGATCATGCTAAATATCTCTGTCGTGTGACAGGACACTAACGCGACTGTACACATGCTTTGAACTGCGCCATCCCAGTATACTCTCTCACGTCCAGGCACACAAGAGGGCATGCGTGGTGCCTTCTCCGAGCCTGCTACGAAGCGCTACCTGCAGTCCGTGTTCCCTGTCCTTCAGATTGTCAAACATTTCCAGCGCATTCAGAATGGCCTTTCAAGGTCGTACAGGAATGGACCGAGCAAGGCAGAAGGGGGGGGGACCGGCGGCGTGTAGCTGCACCCTCTTACATGACTCATGAACTCCTTTAGGCAAAGCTCCTCCAATGCAATCTCACCTGGCTTAGATTCTCGAGGCCCGCCGCAGGAGCTGAGCACAGGCCTGGTCCATGTTGAAGTACTTGTACGACGCCAGGCGTCCCACAAATGCCACCCCCTTGCAGAGCACGGAGGGTCAACGCATCCAAAACTCCGAACGCTCACAAGTGACCCTTTGAAAGCTTCTGGCCTCCTCGCGCGCCGCGAGGTCTGCATATTTCTCATAGAGCGCCCTGGCAGCAAACGAGGTGAGCTACGGTAGAAGAACGAGTAGCTGTCAGTGGCATGAGGAGCGATTCGAACTCTATAGCAGCATGTTTCAATCCCGCTGAAAGGCAACGGTGTTTGGAGCCTGTTGGCAGGGTTTGGCACTGGGTAGTACGGCTCCCCTTCTGCAGAGGAGTATTCTCTGGCCTCACAACAGCAAACAGACATGAGACGCTCTGACAGGCAGGCGGCCAGGGACCCATTCGAGGCTGTGGCGATGAGAGTCCCCTTGACCTTGCCGTCTTTCACCTCCTGCGGCTGGTTCGGGACGTGTTTGTACCTTGCTCGCGCGAAGGTTGGTCTTGGCAGGCTTGTGCATTCTGGACAAGATCCGAACTCTGAACAGCTTGTTGCAACGAAAGCCGCTCAACGGTCCACCTCTTGAAGAGGTGTCGAGGTCGAGGTTTCGGGACTTGGATTCTTGGATTGGTTCATGGTTGTTGAACTGCAAACCGGTTTCAACCGCTGCATTCACTTGAACTTCTGCCGGGTTTCGGATATGCGCCTTCCAATGTCTCGACATGTCTTTTTTGACGTCGCTCTTCTCATTCAATCTTGCCTGCCTGGTGCTCCCTACACCGCTGCGATTGAACGGGCAGTTCGCATGGATCTGTTGGGACTGAAGTCGCAAGAAAACTATCGGATGCTGTGCGGTTGTGTTGAACTGAACTGCATCTCTCTCTACAACGTCCGGCATTGCGGAATGCCCAGATCAAGTCTGCCGTCTCGAGTTCTTTCTTCTCCGTGTTCCATCGCAACAAACTTTGTTCTGTCGTAGTGTGTTGTCGTGTGGCCTGGTTTTCATCGCAGTATACTGCACGGTACTGCCTAATGGCGAAAAATCTCCTCTGCTGTACTGAATCATACTGGGTGATATTGAAGAATCTGATTGAGAAACCTTGAGTCTTTCTTGGTGGTCTTCATTAATTTGGATCTCAACACTTTGGGGCTATAGGATCAGGGTTCCTTAATCAGGTTCCTGTATTGGCTTCTCTTCCGACCCTCGCTGACTGTGTGGTTACAGAGCGGTAAGTTCAAGGATTTAGGGCTCGGAGTCGAGAACTGCAGCGAGAAGCTCAAGGCCTCTGTCGTAATGCAGGCCAAGATGCTCTACAATGCGTGTGAAGGGCACGTCCGGCGAGGGGTGGTTGACCACCATGGCCTGCAGCACTGGCACTGCCCCCATCCTCTGAGTCTGCGACTCCGAGGAGCTGTCGACTGCCGGAGACTTGCATTGAATTGATGTCACTGTCCCCTCTGCATTCGACGGCCTCTTGGAAAAAGCCGCCGTCCGGCTCAGGGACGAACTCCTCCTGGATTCAACCGCGCAGCTCGCGACACGTATGGCCAGGAAGCCCAGAAGTGGCCTTGGGCTTAGGGGTCAAGGGGGCTTCTTGCAGCTACTCGGCTGTCCACGAATACGCCTCGGCCACGAAGTCGGGCTGCCGTTAGCGCGAGAAAAAAAGGTGCGGTGCTTCCATCAAATGCCATCTGCCATGGCACATGCGGCACGGCGTACGCGTACGCAATGTGCGATACTCAGCCAAACGCTATCACTACAGGCCCGAGAGGTGCAGGAAGTTCACGGCTGCTGTCCGCTTCCGCACCTCGAAGCGCAGGGATCGGTATTCCAGCTTTGGCATTCCCAGCGCTGAGTAGTAACCTCGGAGCAACTTGGTACATCTGTATCTCTACAATCTGACTTTGACTTTTCTTTGACTTGCATGGGGGGTGTGCATATTTCGTCAGTTGGTGTCTTCTTGAGGGGCCCGATGCTTGCAACCCGCGCCCCCCCCTCCCGCACAAAAGCAGCCGCTTGAAAAGAATGATGCTGGGCCGCCAGGTGTGACTTCATGGGCTCGGAGAGTTTCGCATTGCCGCCAAGCTGCTATCAATCTGACCTGACATCCGAAAGTAACAGACTGCCCTCAAACTCGTCATCTGTAGATTCTGGGTCAGCAGGCCGAAAGAACTACTTACTATAACCCTTAAACGCGACATTAACAACCTCAAACCAACCGAAGGAAGCTTTCGCAAAGACCAGCCTGTGTACACAAGCAGCTTGTGCTTCGGCAGTCTGCCGGCCTCCTGCGGAGTGGTTGTCAGTCGAACTTTGGCTAAACAAGCTCTGCAACGGACAACTCCAAGATTTGAGCAGAACACCTGTCAGCAGAGATGCCTGAAACGAGCTCTACCTCCAACTGCTCAAACATCAGAGGCTGAGGTTTCGTTTGGAGATGGGCCCCACGGACAGCACGCCTTCAACTGAAAGAAGTCACAGTTCAGCCGGATGCTGATGTTCGGATCCCTGAGCCTTAGCTGAGAAAAGCGACTGGAAACTTCTGCGTTCTCGACAGCTTCATGGAGCTAGAGCATCCACGGCTATTTACTGAGGCTTCGCACTCGCAAGACGGACATGCAGAAAAGAGGCAACATATTCTCGAAGATCCGCGTGTAGCCCCTCCGTGGCAACGCCTTGTGGCTTCGGTGTTGCTAGAAGCCCAAATTGCCAAGGGCTTGGGGTCATGTTCGGTTCTTCTCAGGAACGGCGTTTTTTTAAGGCACCTCAAGCGAATTGCTGCTGATTTCTCGTCTCGTTCAACGGAGCTCTCCGCAACCGGGCCTGCCATGGGTCGGGGAAGTACCGATCGTCGGTTGAAGTTCTGCACGGCAGCCGCAGCAGCACGCTTGCGTCCAGCTCAGCAGGGTATTTGTCCTGCGAGGGTAATGGCTCTGTCATCGGAAGCCAGGTAGCACGACTTTTGTGATTGCCCCTGCAGTTGCAGTCGCCATTGCAACTGCTGCTGTCATGCTCATGAACACTATGGCACTACGGCAGTCGTTTCTGCCGTAACAAGTGCTGCTTGCTGTTGCTACTGTGGTAGCAGAACGACTCTCGTGGCGTTTATGGTTCTGCTTCATTACAGTGTGTTGCTACGGGTACCAGTAGCACTACTACTAGTATTAGCACCACTACGACGACGACTACTACTGCTACTACTACTACTACTACTACTACTACTACTACTACTACTAGTTCTACTACTACTACTACTACTACTACTACTACTGCTACTACTACCACTACTACGACTACTACGACTACTACGACTACTACTACTACTACTACTACTACTGCTGAAACTGCTACTGCTACCGCTACCGCCTCTGACGCTGCCGCTGCTGCTGCCGCTGCTGCTGCTGCCGCTGCTGCTGCTGCTGCTACTGCTACTACGACCACCACCACCACCACCACCACCATCACAACCACCACTACTACTCTTAGTCTCTACACCATGCAGACATGCTCAACAAGCAGCTACCTGACCACACACATACTTACCGTTATGCACTCATACGAACATGTGTTCCTGCAACTCATATTGTAGAATCGATACCGCCCATCCCCGAATCCTTCGGGAAACCTCAATAACTCGTAAGGAAGCCCTCCGGCTGCTATGCTGCTGGTAAGCATGGCATGCATGCATGACAATGTAGGATGTATGAACGGCAGGCAGGCAAGCATGTACTGTATGTAGCGGCATTCTATGCATAAACATGCATGTGCAGAACCACGAAAAACATACGTACGACGCAGACTCGGGAAAATCAGTTCGGGGCACCCTTTCCAGGCACCGGTCCCACTGCTTCTTGGTGTAGTGCTTAAACACTTTCTCGAAGAGCCTGCGAGCGGGAGAAGGGTGTGCGGGAGAAGGGTGAAAACTTCCTGAAGACTTGTTCCGAACGGTTGCCAGGGTTCAAGCTTTGTGCGCTTACGATGTTTACCGAAGTATGGCCCGATGATGGCAACAAACAAATCAACGAAAACAAAACTGACGCCAACGAAGTCGTAGTTGTCGTCCCTACTCGTAGTCGCGAGCATAGTTGTGGTCGAAGTCGTCGTCGTCCTCCTTCTCGTCACTTTCGTAGTCGTAGTTTGTAGTCGTAGTCGAAGTCGTAGTGGGTAGGGGTACGGGTAGCGGTAGCGATAGCTGTAGCGGTAGCGGTAGTGGTCGTAATGGTGTAGCATTAGTTACTGCTGGTGGGAGTAGCAGTGGCATCAGCAGCAGAAGAAGCACCTGCAATCAAACTCAGAACAGCACGTCTATCGCCCTTGATATCTGATAATAACAACATCAGAGCATTGACACCTCTGATGCCAAAGAATGCAATGTTCATCGCAGTCATCATCACCATCTTCTTCTTCACCATCATCATTTTGTTGAGCAATGTCGTGACATCCAAGCCAGGTTCCCATGCCTTGGCCCAACACGGCTGAGCGCAGCTTCCTCCCCATTTTTGGGCTCTCCACCTGGGCTTTCAAAGCTGGATTTGGGGCCTTAGATGGCCCCGGGCCTGTGTTGTTCAAGGCTCTAGGGCCCTGGGGCCTTAAGGCACAAAGTTGAGGGTACTTTGCAATCGAAGCCACCCGGAGGAGGCAGCCGCTCCTTGTCATACCAGGCCTTGCATTGGGGAATTCAAAAGATTACGAAACTTAGGGCGAAGGACGGCTGCCACTTCGGGTCAACTCGCCTGCATAAGCCACAAGATTCCACAAGCACCCAACACAATATCGCTTGACCCCTGCAGCAACTGACGCAATCGAAACCCCGTCACAGGCCTGCATGTCAGCCTCGCTGCACACGCTCTCCTCGAAGAGGGTATTTACAGTCTCCTGGTCGCTCACGCAAGGCGCACGTAAAGGTCTGCTTTGTCATGTGCCGTCATGCCCATCTGCAGCACCAAGCAAGCACAATCGATCTCCCAAGTCCCGATGCCTGCAGGCTCAGAACCCCAAGAGTCCCACGCACCCCAAGATGAATTACAGCCATCTCCTGTGTGGGTGGAATAGGGACCAGTCGCTTGACGCCGGCCTTCCGATCGCAGCATGGAGCTCGAATAGGAGGCCCCCTCTCTGTCTCTCGCTACACGGAACATCCCAAACTCCCACAAGCCCCCGGATCATGCAGCTCTTCATGCCAGCGGCGTACTCACCTCACTGTCCCAGTGTCGCACACGCACCTTGTCTTCCACCAAACCCTTCACACGGTGATCGAAGGGGATCCACTCCGAAAAGTTGGACACCTCGGATGGAACGACTTGCTTGGACATGGCGGTGCCTTGGCCGCTGGCCCCTCCGAACCCACACTTTTCACGGACAGTCTTAGAGTTGTAGAGCAACGCACTGTCGCCAAGACACGTATTCCCAAACCCGCTCGAACTGCGTGTGGAATAGGTGTGCACCGTACTTGGAGCAGCGGATTCCGTTCGAATCGACCTGAAGCACGGACGACTCCTGCGGTACTTGCTGCACTGATTCGGTGCAGCCATTACTCGACTCGCTCTTGCAACGTGCAAACAGCTAAGCCCGGCTCATAGTCGTAGCCTCAGCGACGAAATGAAAAAGCGCCCAAGCTCCGCATGCCGGCGAGGCCCCCCAAGGCTCGTCACGACCGAGGCCCTTGCAGTTGCCGCCGATGTGATCTCTCTTATCCTCGGAAACAACTGGGGCGCCTCTCCGTTTCGAGCCCGAGGGCCGTCTGATTTTGGAGCTCAGTGAGTATAAGGAACAAAGTTTTCTACCAAAAGCACAGAGATAACAAAACAGCGAATCCCCACATCCCCTGCTGGGGCTGTGTCGATGATCAAGGAAGTCATGCCCAGCTCCTTGCTGCAACGCTCGGCCAAGACCGCACCTTTGGGACTTTGAGAGTCTGAAGATGGAAAGTTCGGGTTGCGTTCTTTGTGAAAGCCATGGGCTTGTTCACAAGCTGCCAGGGTGGCATGCAGTGTCTGCTTCGTGTCTTCACATTGCTGTACGGCTTCCGGGGAGCTTCATGCTTTGCAAGCAGACTTACAAGAAAGAATGGATTTCCCATCAACCCTGCAGTCTTGAAAAACATGGATCCCATTCCCCACAACCAAAATAAAGACGAGAAACCCTGCACTGCGAGGACTTGGGGACCGGGCCAGAGAGCCCAGCTCCCACGATGAGCAAGTCGGTCGACTCCGGCGCCGTGCTGACATCCTGTACGGATGGGGCCCAGTCCTTTCATAAGCTGCGACACCAGCACTACTCAGCTACTCCATAGACATTCTATCTGGGAGTTCACGCCAGGTCTACATCCAATCGACTGCCAGAAACAGCAAGGACGCTCTCATGTTTAGCCCACATCAAGTGGCTTTCTCAGTTCGAGGGACATGGTGGACTGAATTGCACCCAGCCAGGGCTTGCACCTTCTGTCACAAGACGATGACGCTTTACAGCCAAATCACAGCTGCTGAGACTAGCATATCTCACAAGACCTGTCCCGCATTCAAGCGAACAAAATGCCTAACAGCCGGTGAGGGATCTGCGCTACAAGAGAAGCCAGCATGAGAGCATGAGAATGCGTCTTGTCTGCGCCACAATACCTCGTTCGAAACATCGTCGTCGTGACTGTCACTAGTCTCAACATCGATGTCACCATCATCGTCATCGTGACGTGATAATCCGTCGTGTTTGACTCAAAACCTGCTAGTGCTGCCCGGGCCCCGCTCCGCTGACCCAAACAAACATCCTAGAACCCTTCAACCCCAAGCTGGAGACTGAGGAATCCACTCCACTCAAAATTGTATCCTCCAGCTTCAAAGGAGCCTGGCCGCTGGGACGGAAGAGTCTGTGAAAGTCTGAAATGTTGATGGCGTGTCTCGTCTCGGCACTCATAGCTCAGCATCGGTGTATAAGCTTCTCCGGAGCCCATTGGCAAGAAGAGTACCAGAACAACATGAAAGAGTTGGCGACATGGTTGTGTTCACGCGTGAATCGGAGCAGATGCCTCCGAGACGTTACCGGACTCGAAAATTGGATCCTGCAAACGGCAAGACCCATCGCTTTCGGCATTCCATTGCATGACTGCCATGCTCTGACACGTTGTCGTCCTTGCCAACGATATCTTGCACTTTGTTGAGTGCAGCCTCCAGTTCACACACATTCACAAGAATGGAATTCGGAAAACAGCGCAATAGCTCACCAAAGCATTGGTCAATGTGCACCCCACCCATTCCGGTTCTGCTCGGCCAACACCGATGCTGGAAGAAAACGGGCCAAATGGCATGAAGACGCCCTCTGAAAGCAGACGGGGCTTGGATTTGGCAAAAAGGAACCTAACGACAACGCAGTGCCATCGAACCAAAACGCTGCAGCTCAAGTGCAACGTTGGGAGTTGGGATATCTCCAACTACACGGCATGCAACCTTATGCTGGACCTCGACGTCGGTATGCGAACAAGATGACAATCAACTTGCATGCACCCAATGCCATGGCGCTTTTGTGTGACTCAATCAGAAGCTGTTTGCAGCATGGCACACGCAACTCGGCTTTGGTTCCAAGCAGAATTCAAGACATAGTCATGCCCAGTTTCCCTTGCTGCGGGAGCTTCGCTAAAGTTCAGCAAGGACCTGCTCCCTGCGGATCCCTGGTCCATTCCTTACGGATCCTAGAAAACAAATAAACAAGTGTTCATCAATTTTGTTGTTCAAACTGGTCCAAGATTCTGCGTACATGCAATAAATGCAAAAATTATGATGAGTCCAAAAACAACAAGAAAATTCTGGAAAACCGATGTGCCAAAATACAGGCACATGAATGACCATCTCGACATCACAACTGTGTTTGCCATCTCGAAATTCGAATCTTCTGTCGAAATATGTCAACTTAACACCGTAAGCGTGCACACTCGGCATGTCATGTTGTATTGCTGTGCAAAATGGGTAATGACACCCAGTGGAGAGCTTGCTTTCTTTTGCTATTTCTCCACAAAACGGGTCAGTAGTTCCAGACAGAGTCCGAAGGTACTGCGAAGGCGTCATTGAAGCGGGCATGCAAACGGGCAAGTCACCATGGTCTCGCCACGACTTTTGGTAATTGCAACTCTCCAGAGCTGAAGCTTTCTGAGGCTGCCAGACATCGAATCCGAGATTCCAACCTCGAGAACCCAGATGAACCTGAATTGAGTTTCAACTGGGTTGGAAGGGGGGTTGGAGGGGACGCAGCCCGCTCAAGACGGGTCGCTGAACTTTTTTATGCGCCTTTTGTATGTCTCTGAATTTTCGTGTTTCTGCTTTTGTTTTAAGCCTTGCCTTGAAGTATGAAGTGCAACAGCGCGTTTGGTCAGAAGGACCTGGTACGAAGTTGAATCCTTTCCAAACGGATGAGAAAGGAAAGGGTAAGAAAGGAAAGAAAGGTCGAAGCCAGAGCGCTCCTAGGAGTGGAGCTAAGGGAAACAAGGATGTGGAGTGCTGGAACTGTGGAAAGAAGGGGCATCTGTCCCGAGATTGTTGGGCTCCTGAGCAGCATCGTGGAAAAATCAATGGCTGCAACCAAATCACAAACCAAAGAGCTCGGTTGTTTCACTCCACAACTTTGCAGAGCATTCCTCAGAATTCGGCATGGCCAGCAAACTTTCCAAGCAAGTGAGTCACGTTGCAACTTGCGCCAAAAACTTCGGTGCAAACAAAACTTTGCTTGACTGCTTTTAAGCTTTAAAAAACCTTTTCTTCCAACAAAACTTGAAGAGAAACCGACATGGACGCATCTTTTTGACCATACACACACGCACACACACACACACACACGCACACACACACACGCATTTGCACACACGCACAGAACACAACACACCACATATGACACACATAAAGACACAAACACGATATACCAACCAACTTTGAGCTGTTTGACAGACACAGAAATGCATGGAAAATCTTGCCAATGCGCACAGATTTTCTGTTCGGTTTTCGTCGCGCAATGGCACACACGTCCCCAATCACCAACGCAAGAAACGCTTGCACAGGGTGCATGCCACCGGCAAGTCGCAGTGCGAGTTGAGTCAGATGAGTCAAAGATGCGGTTTGGCACCAGATAAAGCGGCAACCAGCGGGCTCACTCTCCACACCTACGCGGCTCGCAATGCGCCAGACGAGCAAGCATTGCCTGCAAACATGTCATCGAGATGGAAAAGAACGCTCATGTGACAGTCTACAGTTGCCAAATGCAGGAAACTTTCTTGGTTGGCCGCAGGATATGAGAATGCTCCACAACGAACAACTGTGCAGCTTTTTGGAAGGAAGTCGACTGTGCAGATTCTCAAAAGAGTAGCTGCGATCGCACACCCAAACAAAAAAAACCTCCTCGAATTTCCGCAGCGCGGAGTGTGACTGTCTGTATGTTGTCCTGTTTCCTCGGATGCTCTTAGTTCTCAAAGAAACCGGTCTTGCTCTGAAGAATGGACCCAGAGCCGCGACAAGATCGGCTTGTTATTCAGCAGCATTTCAATCGGGTGGTGGTCATCGATGAGACCTTTTTCACTTGGAAGGAGGTTTTGTTGGAAGGCGTCTGGGCAACAAGACCTTGTTATGGGCTTGGAGTTGGACTTGGCCACCAGAAAAGCAACAGGCGCTGCTTTCCATTCCGAATAGGAAAATGTCAACTTTGAGGGGAGATTCAAACACACGTGGTTCCCTCATCTTCACGCGCACTTGCTCAAAATGTCGCTTCTCATCGCACCGCTGGACCAATTAGCAGGCACACAGGCTTTGCCGGTGTTGGCCGTTCGGCACGAACTACGGTGCCTCAGCGACCGATCCACAACAGCAGAAGGCCGTCGCCCAAAGCTGTCCAAGACTACCGGTGGAGCCCAAAGTCAAAGCTCCGGTCAGCCCCGGCGTCCTGTTGTGTCACGATCGTGCACACGAAGTCCACAAATCCAGACCTGCAGCCTGTAGCGAAGCAACTGACCTAACTAGCGCCATGCCTGCGCACTGCAACCGCCGACATACGTCATTGGGTCAATTGCTTCGCTCCTGGCTATTGGTCTGGATTTCTGGACTCCGTGTGCAAGATCGTGACACAACAGGACGCCGGGTGACCGTTGTTCGACGGAATTAGAATGGCGGCCGGAGCTTTGACTTTGGGCGCTCGACTGGTACAGTAGTTTTGGACAGCTTTGGGCGACGGATTTCTGCTGTTGTAGATCGGTCGAGGCCCCATAGCTCGTTGGGACGAGTGCTACAGCCGTAGTTCTTTAACCACGAGGTGATGAAGAAGACGTTGGCTTTGACAAGTAAAAGTCCTTTCTCTGGGGCCCTCAGTCAAAACACCACGACTGCACGGAGGTTCCAGCCGGTGGCCGCCCGGAGGCGCATCAGGGCTGCGTGCAACCAGTCGAGCTTAATGGCCTGCAGTTTGTCGAGCTCCGAGTCAAGGCGGAGGTCCCGACCTCTCTGGTTGGCCAACCCCAAATCGCGATTGCTGCCCGCATGATGGAAGGATTTCATCGTGGACTTCCCTGCACGACGCGGCGATTTCGATCCGCAGATGTTTTCCTACCCCGGACACTGTAAAGGCACGTTTCGCCTCCTGCTTCCTCTTGATGATGCCTCCCTGGGATTGCGGGCGCAGCCCGCTCTTCCCCTCCAGTCTGCTGGACTTTTGCACGCCGCATTGTGTCGTCTCCGCACGGCGGCCACCACCCGGGGTTGGGAGCTCAGTGCCGTTGTTGTGTTCTGGCTACGCGGCCCTCGGAAAATGGACTTCTACTTCCCTGTCCGCCTGTGGCGCTATGCCCACTTCGATGCACGGGACGTTCGGGCTCAAGTTCTGATCAATCACTTAGTGGCACAGGAAGCTAATCAGGGGGTTCTGCCCGACGGTAACCAACCGCGGTTTCGTCTCGGACACACGTGGGGACAAGACGAGTGGCGTGCAGCGGCCCATGCTTTCATCGAGCAGGGCGGACTTGGCCCGGGCATCCAAATCCCGTTCATTTCCAACGATCTTATGCCTCACCTTCATGAACCGGACCTGGACACCCTCCAGTACGGCTTTCACCGCCTCAAAGCTTTGTATGATGCGCGCCAGTTTCAATTGCTGTACCTACTGCGAGAATCCCATTTTCCAACAAGTGGCCACGACATGCAGCGTAAGCTTGATGAATGGCCCCCTGCCTAGGAGCCTGTCCAGTGCACATGACCTTGGACTCATGAAACGCTCAAAGTCCAACCTTTCGACATACGTCGACGGGTCTTTCCACTACCGATGCCCTGGACTTTGGACTTGTGGATTTTGGCGTGCACGATCGGGACACAACAAGACCTCGGAGTCGACCGTTGTTCGACGGAACTAGAACGGCGGCCGGAGCCTTGACTTGGGCTCCACTGACGGTCTTGAGTCTTGGGCAACTTTGGGCGACGGCCCTCTGTTGTCGTAGAACGATCGCTGAGAAGTTCCTTGTTTCACCGCTGTTTTTGTTGTTTGGTAGTTTGTTTGTTTGCAAGTGCTACGGTACAGCCGTAGTTGACGACGAGGTCCGCACAAGCCAAAAAAAAGCATCAGGGCTGCCTGCAAAAGGCCAGCGGATTGGTTTTTTTTGGCGTGAGCGGGCCTCGTCGACTGCAGCTGTAGCACTCGGTCCCTACAAACAGCCAAACCAACAAAAAAACGAAAACAGCGGTAAAACACGGCCTCTAATTACTAGAGGTCGACAACTGGCTGCGACACACAGACTTTGCCGGTGTTGGCCGTTCAGCACAAGCTACGATGCCTCCGCAACCGATCTACAACATGGGCCGTTGCCCAGAGCTGTCTAAGACCATCGGTGGAGTCCAAGTCAGCTCCGGCCGCCGTTCTTTTTTGGCTTGTGCGGGCCTCGTCGACTACGGCAGTAGCACTCGGTCCCTACAAACAAACAAACTACCAAATAACAAAAACAGCGGTAAAACAAGGAACTTAATTGGAGAGAGCGGAGCTGCTACGGTGCCCAGGCTTTGCCGAGATTAACCGTTCAGCACTTGCTACGGGTCCTCAGCGAAAAAGCCCTAAGCCCTTTCGACGTATGTCGAATGTCATGACATGGACAGTGGA